ACAGACCATATCGTAGTTAAGCTTTCAAAATGGGCGTTGTTGATGGCGAGGTCATACAATTACATCCATACAACATTTTGATGGTATTCGGGGCGAAACTATCAACGGATAATTCCTTGTACTACTTTTTTTTTTTAATGTTACAATGGGATTGGGGGCCTTGCAAAATTAATACATTTTTGCAAGAAACGTGTAGCATAGAAGGGTGTGGCACCCCATCAAGTCTCAGCAAGAGAGACAAGAAATAGGGTGGCGACATTGCAAAATCTATATTCTATGGAGATTAATGAAGCTATTTTTTAGCAAACAACCAGCCCAACATTTCATTCCGATAATTTAGTATGACCGTGGAACCATTGGTGGACACACCAATGCAAAACTCTGGTTTGCAATATTTAAAAAAATAATAATAATAATAAATCAAGTCGCGCGAGTCAGATTGAAACCGATCATGAAGTTACGAGGGCGTGTGTGTATTAAAACACACACAAAATCAAATAAACTAGCCACCTTCTAGTTATGTCAGCCACAATCTGTGAAATGAATGCTCGATCGAGATTGCGTTCCAACGCAAAAGCAGTTCGAGTTACGTCTGATGATCAGGAAATGTAAAATAAGAGTTTTGCTAAATTCATTCCGAATAACTAGGCATGATGGCACACTGATTTCAATCGCAGATGCCAAAAGAAGTGATGTTATCACAGTTAACAAAAATGGCCTACACCATAAGTCATTGAAGACTATTTTGTTTCCTCCATATTGTCAGAGGTTCTGCTGCGTGGTTACTTTTAGTCTACAGCTGCGATAGGCCCGGTAATACTACAGAATATTCAAGCGCACGATGCGGTCAATTCAAACGTGCTCAAGAAACAAAAAGGATCTTCCACCATTTACAGCTCGCATCACATTCGCAACACCCGTTTAAAGAGAATACAATCATACTTTCTCAATCCACACCACCCTATCGAGTGCAACACACAATCTATTGCAGAAGTATTTTTGGGGTGGTGGCGGATAAAACTAGTTCCTGTGTAGCCAGCACAGACTTTGAATTGCTTGCTTTGGATTGTTCCTTCTCACCCTTAAAGATGGACAAACCTGTTAAAGAAAACAAATGGTACACCACACAGACAATATTTGTTTTTTTTTTCCTCCGGGAATTGCACATTTGGCTCAAATGCTAGTGTCTAAAAGACAAAAGGATGCATATTAAACAAACAAAACAAAAAAACACCACAACCTTTTATGATGTTGCTAGGTTATGTATCCTGCAACTTTGATGATCAATGGCATTAAAAACATCCCAGTTACAATTACTGAGTTTTCCACAAGTGTGGAAGAAAGAAACACTACATAAATAAAAGCTCAAGTACAAAGTGGTAGAGCTCGTGAGAAGGTGCCTCGTATTTCAAAGCATCCATCCCCATTGAAATGAATAGAAATGCCATTAATCAGTTCCTGCCAACCGTGAAAAACGCAACGAAAAATTGTGAGCATATTTTCGAGGTGTGAAAATGAGCATTCTATCTTCTTGTACTTTATGAAAACGTGCAGAAATAAAAAGCAGTATCACACGAGAGGAACTGATGTTGTACTATGCATTTTTTTAAACGGACTCGGTTACTGGTTTGCGTTTACATGTTTTAAATTCTCTTGTTTTTAAATGCTTTCCAATGTGGTATTTTCTTAATTTCGGGAAACACTTCGAGTTTCCATGTGTATGAAATTTGCGAGATAAATTAATCTGTCTCGCCGCGTGAATCGTGCCGTCCATTTGGGTGTGTACGCCTTGGCCATTAGTGGGCAGTATAACACATATTGTATGTATACACACGCTGCTTGTTCATATTGTCTGTCTACATGCTTCTCTGCCTTGTTTGTGTCCAAATAACCGTTGCTTTATGGCTGATAACAGTGACACTGATGCTAGTTTTGTTATCTCATCTATTGCGTTATGCTTTGTGTATAAACAGTAGGCTGAGCAGACTTTCATGTGGCGTTTGGTTTCACGCAAAGTGTCATTGTATTTGTTTATGTTGCGTTTTAGAACCTTAACTGGCAGTGGCAATTAACAGTTTCAGGGAAGCACTTGGCCTCTTATTGAATTACAATTGGCCAAAACGCTGCCCGTTATTAAGTTGGCTGCCACTATTAGCGCTCGTAACTCAAGTTTTTGCCCGCGATTCAAGACAAAAACTGGCTGAGCGCACAGCTTGTATGAGTTACCAGCAAGGTAGAGTTGTTTTACTTGAGAAGCTGGTAGATTCCGTACCATGCACCATAAAATTCATAGGAGAAGCAAATCCCGTACCATGACAAAACACCCCAAATTAAATGATCTCCAGTGACCTAAAAAGTAGAATGTGAAAACCAGAAGACGAAGACAGTTGAGATCCATTGTTCCGCGTCTACCGGCGTTACCATTTAAAAAAAAAAGAAATTGCAGTTTACAACTGCGCTTGATAGAAGTAAAATCCACACGTCAACTAATACACATTGTCAGTTGTTAGGATTTTACACGGTGTAGGAGTACTGAATGAAAAACATACACTTGGATGTTCAAGAAGACGTTACCGTTAAGATCTGTCATGCAAGTTCCAAACGGGGGCAGTTACCTACCAATTTCCATTGTTGCTACACTGACTTCAAAGCCAAATGCAGCCTGTCACAATCTACACCATCGCATCTCGCTCGGGGTTTAATAGATTTGCTAAAAGCACTACACAGCCTCAATTTCCATCCACAGTCCCAAATCTTTATAGTCCGTCAAACCTGTTAAAGAAAGAATGTAAAGAGCACATCAAAGTAACAATGCAGAATATGCTACATATATCCAACAGCTAAAGCATACAACTATAATCTACTTGGGTGTAAAAATGTTTGACAAGCTTCTTAACAGTCCTTCAATGTCTTTAAATCCTATTTATGGACCCAACTGTGTTTGAATTTATTTCAATATTGGGGAATACCTAAAAGAAGTCTGAAAATGAGCTCCAGATACAGATGGCCCATTAAACAATTTAGGGGAAATGTAATGAAGGATAAAATATGAAAGTGTGCTTAACTCATTCAGTACCAGCCAATTCTAGACCAAGTCTGAAAAGACGTTTAAAAACGTCTTTGGGAGTTAGTGAGTTAAAAAAAAACCAACACGTGAGACTAAATGTGTTGCTAGCAAAAAACAAGATCAAACGGAGGATGCTCAAAAGAACATCAAATTATTACGTCATGTAAAGCTGACGTTCCTAAAGATTTGACTGGGTGAGCTTTGGAGATTGAAGGCAGCCAACGACGGCTGTACAAGTATGTCAGTGGGAGGGTCGATTACCTTTGCAACAAGTTATACAAGGATAAGCCACAGTGGAGCAACCAAACCTGGAATGTAGAAAGCGGCGCTGATCTGGTCAACAGATGATGTGGTTTGTCAGTTGTCCGATGACATCCTCCATCCTAAGTCACTAATTTTTTTTTTTTTAACTTTAACTCAATTCACATGATCAGGCTTGTCCTGTGTAAACTTGGGATGGCGACTCAACCAATGGATGTTTTTCAGAGAGTGTTCAATTGCGGCCAGAACAGACGTCCTCTTCAGACTGCTTGAACTTTTTAAAAGTACTTAAAATATCATTCGGTGGATATAATCAATATAGATTCGTGTTTGTTGATTTGTCATCAGATCGAAGGGTTAAATACAACGGCAGTCCGGGTAAGTAGGACTGATGAGCGGCTCGAGTGCAACATTGATCGCATCACGATTCCTCAACCTTAAATTAAGATCACTGGGTAGATTTCACTCCCGCTGTCATATTATGCAATCTTCTGATTAGGCAACCAAGACAACGTTTGCGACTTTTGTCTTCCTTTGGAGAACATCTTGTCTTCTGAAATCTGGCAAGTGAAAAGGAGCACGACTCGATACGGAAAGTCTTTCAAGCTTGTGAGCACTCCACACAAATAAATGCATGTCGAAGAGTGCGGACTTGTGCTTTGGAGCCCAAGGGTCACGGGTTGAGGTCACGCTGCAGACAACAACAAAAAAATGCAACAACAGCAAATAGTTGTTGGAGATATGCAAGCCTGGTTTGCTGGCTCAGTCAAGGTGCCCTGGAGCAAGGCATCGTCCTTGAATGCCTGCATGTGTGAAATCTGGTTCTACGTGTCGCGCACAACAGCAGAGCTGTAAATTTAATTTTGCTTTGAAGGACGATAATCAGTCAACTAAAATTATGACATCTAGCATTATAACGACAACTGCTTTCCTTGGCCAGTCTCCTTGTCAAGTTCGCGGATCGGATGAAGGCAAAAATACTTTTGGGTGGCCATTAAGTTGTGCAACTATACCTACAACTCACTTTTGAATGACACGTCAAGTCGCGTTTGTTGCATAGCGTGCACAGGGAACAAATGAGAAATTGGAATTTTGCTATCAGTCATCCAATTATAGGATCAATTCCTGACTCGGCGGGAGTTTGATGACATTAAGTGCATCATCGGCACCAGGGATCAAAATATTCTTCAGATTCCACAACTATTCTGGCAATACAAAAATAAAATTGATACTCTATGTTACACTTAAGTGTGGATTATATTAGATAGAAGGACTCCCGCCGACTACCATCGCATTAGAACGATTTGATTGCGGGGTATGAGCGATGCATTTAAAGCACCGCACGTTTTACCCGTTATATGACGACACTAAAGTCCAGATTATGGGAGTGGGATAACACACAGAGTTGACAATCAAAACGATGCAAGCTTCGTTGTTTTTGAACAACGTGGTGAGAATAAATTATTAGGTTTGGCCAAATTGAACCCATTTTTTATCTTTATTGTGACATGCTCTTGAAGTGACAGCCATGTAGAATTAAGAAGAAAAATTACAAAGCACGACGAAGCACATAACACAACACTAGAAAAGAATTATACAGGGGTCAAATACTACTACAGGGAAACCTAATCTTACTGTACTAGCGACAATCCAAAATTTAAAAAAAAAGGAGTATACTGACTCGTCATAAAAAGGAAGTATCAAGACAAAAATGCTGGAACATTTGGAACTTAAATACAAACGGAGTCTGAGTGTTTCTTGTTTTAGAAGAATTTGTACAAAAATGCTGCGCCGAGGAGCGTCAAGGGAGGAGCGTTTAAAAACGCGGTTTTTTAGCGGGAAGGTCAAACTCTTCGCGGACCCTGTTGTAAGAGCCGTTACCGGGCCCCATTCCTCGGGGGCCGCCCTGAGCGAAGCGTTCGCCGCGCTGTGCGGGGCAATGTGCCAGTGAGGCGGCGTGAAGGGGGCGTGATCAAAAGGAGTTGCGGGGGCGCCAAGTGGGCGAGCACACAGTTCATGTCCATATTGGAAGCAGACATATGCAGTGTGTGTGTGTGTGTGTGTGTGTGTGTGTGTGTGAGAGATATATGCATGTTTCGAGGTTTTTTGATCAACAAAAGCAGCAGGCCACACATCCGAAGAAACCGTTCGTTCCAATATGAAGGTCCACAGGTGCCACAGGTTACATACGGAAAAGGAAGAGAGGGTAATGCTTTCGTTAGTCAATGCCTCCCCTCACAGCCTCGGCAGTGCATGCCAAGCCGAGGCTTAGTTGTCAACGCCACTACGGTAGGGCCCCATGAAATCCGCCGCCTAGTTAAATATATTTTTTTAAAGTAGCTGATTGACAAATGTAAAGTCAGTCCAGGTTTTTGTGCAAGTAGCCCAAATGGTTGTTTGTCTCGTCCTGTGAGTGGCTGGCAACTCGTTTCGGGTGTACCCCACCTGCTGCCCGAAGGCCCGCAATTCTCGTGGGAAAAGGTGGACCAGATAATGGATCATGTTGTTAAAGACCCTGTAAAGTGAAAATGTCTTCCACATTTGACAAACCACACCAGGGTCGTTCGGGGCTTTTCCATGCTGCAAAAGTGGCCAAGCCAGCACCAAGTTGGCTGTAATGTTGGATTTTTAAAAATGATTTCACCTCATTCACCCGCTGACACTTGGTGCTCTAAAAGCAGCCATGTCAGCACAAAGCCCCAACCCACAAACGACCTGCCAACAAGTCAGATTTAAGATCCCGGCTGCTCACTATTCCACCTTTCTTTGTGTGACATACGTGCACTCCTGGCCAACAACGGGGCACTCTAAAGCAGCCACGCCAGATTACGATCCAAAGGCAAAATGCATTTTTGGGGTAAGAGGCATGGCCCAGCGAGCTAAACGCACGCAGGCAGCAAATAAAGACACTCTTCTGTCGGGGAGGAGTGTCCCAGTGCACTCCCTCATGCCCAGTTTTAAATGCCTGAAAAAAAATTCAGGAAATTCAAACGAGTGAATTAAACTAACGTTATATCTTCACAATTACTAAATAGTTCTTAGCCTTCACACGGGTTTTCAGCGATCATTTTCCAGCATGAATAATGTATTTAAGTTTGATGAATTCACTTTACAGGGTCTTCAATGAATGGCTGCAATTTCGATCAGACGTCTTTTGAGAAATATGGACGGATTAAATGGTACCGGTGTAAACAATGTCAGATTTTATAGGGTCCTACATTTAGAAAATCCCTAGGGGAGCACAAAAAAACTATTGGAACTGGACTAAGAAAGGATTAAACCCCAGACGAATATGTAACCAATGTACTGGTTTCTTTCAGATTTTAAGATGGGTGGAAAATGAATCAGCTCATTTGCTGTCTCTTTGTTAGAAGACAGATTGTACACCACAATTAAAAAACCGCATGCGCTGTAGAAAAGTCTTCCTGTCACAATCAGTGTTTCCTTTGGCATACTATAAAATACTCGCACAAATGTGCACCACTGAGTGCAAATCACATTGGGAAAAGAGCACACGCAAGTCATTTTTGGGGTAGCAAACACAGTTCAACAATACACAGAGAAAAGCAGTTGTAAGTTTGAAATTTGAAAATTTTGCAGGCGAGCAATCCTCTGCAAAGTTCAGACAATCAGTCTTGTTTTCATAAAAGAATGCACAAACGGCTTACTTTGCGTTGCCGTTGCTCGTTCAAAATTGAGCACTGTAGATTACAAATCCCCTGCGTCGGGTGGATTGATCCAGCCATTATCAACACTTTAAAATGGTCAATTAATAATAATTAAAAAAAAAATACAAATACACACACGCGCAAAGTTTTGTGAACAAATATCAAACGTACCATATTTTGAAACATAGGATGTTTCGGCTCGACACCAGCAAATTATTATTCATGGCAGAGGGTCTCAAAAGACAACTCCACAAACTGCCAAAAATGTCACAAAAGTGAAGAGCGGCTAAATCACAACCTAATTTTGCATCAACTCTTAACTATGCTCCTAAAACAAATTATGTTTGAGTTGCCAACTACAGATACTCTCCAGCGGTTTTGGTCACTCCATACAAGTCAGAAGAATATGGCCAACTGACTGATATTGCAATTGGGCACCCTAAAGTAAAAACAGCACTCAAGTCACAAGGCTTTGCCCGCCCCCCCAGGAGCGAATTATCATCAGTCACTTTTTTGTGGTTTGGCCGCCAGCCTACACTAAAAACACGATACATAGATAAATGTATATAAAAAAATGTAACAGCTGTTCATGAGAGTGAAATAAATGCCTGCTTGTGTCAAGAAAGCACAAAAACACAGAATGGTCCAGTGGACATTTTTCTCATGACGGATTACGCTTCAGTCTGCTCGCAAACAGCAATGTAACAACAATTAAGGGCTTTAAAAACACTGGTAGACACCAAGAAAAAAAAAGTGCCTGTCCAGCTCACAAGAGACAGGGCTTGCAGTAGCGATCCACAGCACAAAATATTGTGAGAGCACAAAAGTTTACGAATTTAGTGCAGGCTGTCAGTCAGCTTTACGCTTAACCACTGAGAATAAAACTGAGGGGGACCGGCTTACCAATATTAATAATATATGTATTTTTAAAAATGTGTATTATGTAACAATCATATCTGCCACAATCAACAAGCGGCGAGTGGACAGAATGCCTGGGGACAACCCCCCGCTTCTTCCTGTCAATAACGTTCGTGGTGACTATTATCTGCTTCAAGTCATCTCCCGCTGGAGGGGAAATGCCAGACACAAGACACTACATCAAGGAGTGATTTGGCCGAAAACGGGATACATTACCATATCGTTGCTCATCTGGGATCCTGGAGATGCTCCCATTACCTGCTGCCCCTCAAATCCCATTACATTCATGGAGAAGGTCGGGTTCACGGCGCCATAGGACATATCTGGATTGGAAAACATTGAGTCAAAAACAAACTGCAGAACTGAGGCCGTTACGGAGTATTTTTTAGAGCCGATTAGGTTAAGAGAAGAGGTGGCGGACTCTCAGCCACCGTCTTCCAGGCTGGCAAGCAACTCTTCTCGCATCATGAAAAACATCCTGAATTGAGATGATTTCGTGTCAATTTCTTTTTGATCATGGAATTAGAGATCTTCAAAATGACCTTTTCAACCACAAAATACTGTGCACTGAAACAATGCCAATTCTTGAAAATGCTGACATTAAATAGATTCCTTGTACGTAATTAAAACACAAAAGAAAAAGAACCTACCTCCCATGCCCACTGCAGCCCCAGCACTCATTCTCATGTCTCGCTCCCTCTGGAAAAATAATTCACAAATGTTAAAATTCATTTAACATCAGATTTCACCTGATTTGCCGAATCTTTAACTCACATCAATAAAGTTGCCCATCCTGTAGCTTTCCTCGCGCTGGCGACGCATCTGTTCCTCCATTTCGCGCTTGTGAAGCATCTCCTCTTCTCGCCTGCGACGCTCCTCCTCTTGTCTGCCGACAAGAGATTACACCATTACGACAAGCAGTAAAAGGCACCCAGACAAAAGAATGTGGTGCTCCAACCAGACCAACGCCAGTACCTCAACTGCATCTCCTTCCTCTTTTGCATCTCCTGACTGTGCAGCTCTTCCATGCGTCGCAGTTCCTCCTGCCGTCTCAGCAGATCTGCAGAGGAACGTGAAATTTAGCGTGGAGGGGCCACTACAATCAAAACCAGAGGTGAAATAGCGGCGAAGGTCTTTTACCTTGGCGGAGGAGGTTAGCCTGGTGCTCGTGGTATGCGTCCTCCATCTCGCTCTCGAGCTTCTCGCGAGCCTCGCGCATGTTCTTCTCCACCTGCTGCCTCTGCTGCTTCTCCATCTCATCCAGTGACTTCCAGCGTTTGGAGTACTCATATTCAAAGGTGCCAGGGCGGGCAAAGCGCGGGGGCTCCTCTCGCTCGCTGTTGAGAAAACACAGGAAGGAAAGAAAATGTTGGACGTCTATTATACAAAGAGGACGGTGAAAAGATTACAAACGACAAGCTTACACTTGATATCTGGGATTCTTCTGTGCCAGCTTCTCAGGAAGTCCGTCTTCATCATCACACTGTTCAAGAGGCTCCACAACTATGGGCCTTGGTGACCTAAAACAAAAAAATGACATCATGCTCTTACAATATTCTGTTCAGTATCCTTTATGCGCCCAAGGGGAAAGCATCTCGCAGACAGGTTAAGAACTGAATTTAGTAACGGCTAATATACTCTAGTACGAGATGGATGTCAGGTACAGTTCAAAAACAGAAATATTCATTTGGGGTAGAACTTACGTGGTGAGCAAAAAGACACCCTCGTTACACCGGTCCAGGGCCTTCCTAGCAGCGGGCTTGGAGGCAAACTCAACAATGCCCTTGCCGGTGGAACGCCCGCGGTCATCAACAATGACGATGGCCCTCTCTACCATTCCAAATTGGGAGAAGGCCTCCTCCAAGAGCTCGTTGGACACGAATGGTGACAGGTTCTTCACAGAGAGGGCCGCTGAGTGTGTGGCGAAGCGGACGCGGAGGTTTCTGCCTTTCATTGGAAGGTCGTCCAATTCTCCTTTCGCTATCTCGGCAAGTGCACGGGACTCCTGTAAAGAACGTGTTACAATTCTTTAATGAGTTAAACGACAAAAATATTGCATTCTTCATAGTCGTGCTAATCCTTACCAGTCGGATGAAACCAAAGCCTTTTCCTTTGTTGATAAAGACCTCACTGGGCTCTCCATACTTGGCAAAAATCTTCCTAAAATTCTCCTCTGTGATGTCATTAGGGAGGTTGCCGATAAACAGACGACAGCGTTGTGTGTATGATTTCTCGCCGGGTTTCAGCAACATGGACAGTGCCGCCCTGAATTCCTGCTAAACACAAATATTATGAAAAATAAAATCAAAACCACTGTATTACTGAGAAGGCAACACCACACGACGAATTTCGAAACATGGGCACAGATAAGTCAGTCATGACTTCTTTTCTTCGTCGCCATTTTCACCTCTCCCACGGTAAAGTTCGTTTATTTTCCTCCATGGAGTGCAACCATCCTAAAATCTACAAGATTATTTACTTTTTAAATTGTGGAGAAAACAGTAGTTTACAACAATTACGAAATAACAGAAAAAGTATATGGGTCATAAACACACGATTATGTAAGTTTGTGACGAATTATTTTTATAGCACAAAATGGCGGATAGCAAGGGGCAAACACGGTCGGTGCGCTTGATTTAAACTCCCCCCAAAGGCGGTTGCACTAGACAATGCCAGGAAGAACACTAGAGAATGTTTTTCTGTTGCACCGCCCGGTCGAAGTGTTCGGCGATGAGAATTGAACACAACACTACACTACACCGACAAAAGAACTACAGGCATTTTCGTCGACATTTACGCCTTTTAGGGGTTACTTACGCGTTTTTAGATCATTCGAACGACGATTGTTGTTAAAAATGTATGGCAGAGTCCAAAAACGAACCTGTGGCTCACGTTGTTCCGAGCTTGTGCCCGGGGCCTCTTGCTGCGTTTGCAATTGGTCCGGTTTATTAAACGTATTCATGTGGGCCCCCGTCTTCGGACCTGGTCTCTGATTTTGTTGGTTCTGCTGCTGCGGGCCCATCTTCTGCTTATGTTGGTTTTGCTGCTGCACACCTGCCCTCTGGTTCTGATGCGGGCCCATCCTCTGGTTCTGCTGATTTTGTTGTTGGCCTCCCCTCTGGTTCTGCTGATTTTGGTGTTGGCCTCCCCTCTGGTTCTGCGGTTGACTTCCCCTCGGGTTCGGTTGATTTTGTTGCTGACCTCCTCGCTGGTTTTGTTGGTTCGGTTGCTGTCCAGTCTTCTGTTTCTGTTGGTTTGGTTGCGGGCCTCCTTTCTGATTCTGTTGGTTTGGTTGCGGGCCTCCTTTCTGATTCTGTTGGTTTGGTTGCGGGCCTCCTTTCTGATTCTGTTGGTTTTGCTGAGCGCCTGACTTGGGACTTGTAAGCGGAGACTGATTCTGCGGCTGCTGCTGCTGTGGCGGGCCATTCGCATTTTGAGTTGTTGACTTGACTGTTGACTGTGTGTTCTTGTTGGCCTGGTTCGGCTGAGGAGATATGATTTCTTGTTTGGGCTGATTGTTCGCCTCCTTTGTTGGTGTTGTCGGCTTTTCTGGCTCCTGTTGCTTGTCCATCGGGCCTTTCATAGTGAGAGCAGGCCCTGGGGTCGGCGGTGGAAGGCCTGGCAAGCCCTGGTTGGTCTGTGGCTTCTGGTTACTCGACTGCTGTCCTCGGTTGAAGTTATTGTGTCCTCCCCGGCGATTCTGATTCTGAAAAGGGTGGTTTCTAAAATTGGGACTTCCCATTATACTACCCCGCATCGGACCGCCGACTCCACCACCTCGGCGAGGCTGGAATTGATTCATCCCCATTCCGCCGCGGTTATTATGAAAACGAGACATCGCTCGTGATTATCCAATAATTGAAAATAGCTCAAAAAAAGGTTGTAACGCTAGCGCACAATGTTGAGCTTCGCTTAAACGTGTCAAAAATGGCGATTGTCGGTTGTGCTCAAAGGCTCCTCTCCTCCTCTGGTACAATGGCCCCGCCCAAACATGTAATTGGTTAGTTTATCTGCTCTGCCCCCTGATTGGCCTATTCCATTCCTGAACGACACTTCCTCCACACTAACGACTTCATTGGTTCATTTAGAAAAGTAGGCGGGACCATAAGGCACGTTGTTTCCGGGAATCATTACGTGTTATATGGTCAGAAAATATGAAAATTTTATCCATTTCTTGATTAAAATATTGCCTTTTTCTCAAAGTACCATCATGATGATTAACAAGTACTGCAACATTAAATTAATATGGTACAAGGCTCAAGTATTAATCATAAATGAGGCAAATTTCTGAAAGTATGTTCAAAGCCACAAGAACATTTTCCAGTTTGAACGTTGTGCTTAAATAGACATACGAAAGAAACACCGAAACGCCTCAAATAAAATGTATTGCAGACAAAAGCTCGAAAATGTTTTTAAACAGTTCTTAATGATTCAATCCAAATGTACTGAATTTACAACTGCACCGTACAGTAAGACACTTAAGTCAATGTTTTTCTTGTCATTTATTCTGCATACAGGTGCAGTCAGACAATGTTTTTCTTGTCATTTATTCTGCATACAGGTGCTTGGAAACAAAAAGAGACCACCAGTCTCATGTTACTGAGTGGCCATCATTATAAACATAACACCATAAAAGGATGAGATGACAACAGTGGCAAAAAAACAAAAAAGTTGTTACACAAAAACATGTAAAAATTTAAACCCAGGACAAATCACATGAGAATGCGCAACTCTGTCACACATCGAATTAAAAAAAAAAAAAAAAAGAGGCAGCAGTCGAAGAGGACGAAAAGCAACCGTTATCGTGTGAGTGAGACATTCATTGATTTGTCAACAACATTACAAGCGGATGTCTGTCCTCCTTTTCACCCAAGCTTTTCAAAACAAGAGTGCCAAAATAAGAACACAAGGAGAATAAAAACAACATTCACAGAAATGGAAAAAACATAGAACACCTGACAGATGTAGATTTTTTTTTTTTTTTTTTTTTTACTCACACGTGACTCCTCGGAGCAACACTTCATTGTCCAAGGATCAAGTTGTTCAGGGTTACCTTTCATTTGTAATTTGTAAAATCACTCTTCAGTTACATTTCTTACCAGAGCCCTCCCAATGTATTGCCACTTTCTGAAAATTTTACAAGTGAGACCTTTGAGCTTGATGAATGGCTTAGACAGTTAAGTTGCCAAAGGAGGGAGATCAACTTTATTTGCAATGATAAGCATTTTCAACATGGGTTCTTCTCTTGTTTTTGTTTTTTTTGCAGTGACAAAAACAAACAAAAAAAAAAAACACTTGAAATGAGGGTGAACGAGGTGGCCTGGAGGGTGACAAGTGGACAGCAAAAAAGGAAAACGTGTTGCAACCGGACACTTGAAATTACTTGAAACGACAAAAAAGTCAACAGGAATGTTGCGTGTAAGTTGATCTTCTCCCTCTCGAGGCTACGAATTGCCAGGACGACCACTGAAATATTTTTTGTTTTTAAATCCCAATTTTCACGCATGTGGAAGGAAGAAGGGGTGCTCATGGCTGTTTCCTGTTTGGGCAATGACAAATTGGGGTGGGGTGGGGGTTGAGAGGTCAGTGTCACGAGTGGGGGACGAGGAGGAGTCACAGCAGGGATGAGGTGAGGTCAGATCCGAGGCAAGTGCTTCTCAATGAACTCCTTTACTGCCAGCATTTCCTGCAGCGGAGCAAAAGACATGTCAGAACGATGTTGTAACCAAAAAAGTCAACATTTCTGAAAATCCCATCAGGAAAAAACAAAAATCATATGATGTAACTTGTTTGGTTTTCTTTTTTAACACGGCTGTATGTGACACCTGAGTGCAGGACGAGTGAGGGACCCCTGGGTAGGTTTTGAAGTTAATCATTTGCGGGTTGACAATGTATTTAAGCTTCTCCGCCGTCATGGCGCCAAACTGCACGGGGATCATTTCGTCCTTCTCGCCGTGGCACTGCAGGATGGGCAGGTTCTTGTTGCCGCTTGACGCCTGTATGGCAAAGACCATCACACATCAGTGCACTTGGCAGCACTTCATTTGACTTCAGGTCTTTCGATCATACTTTTAAAATAATTCAAACATATCATCACGCACTCCAAATGGTCAAAATGGAATAGAAGTACCAAAGGGAAACTCTTGTGAAGCGGCAGCCAGCAGCTGAGGGCAACCACGCCGGCCAACTGGTGCTGGCAGGTCAAGGCAGTGTACAAGGACAAGGCCCCACCCTGAATGAGGAAGCAAAGAAAACAAATGTAACCCTTGACTAAAGCGATGTACGGCATTCTTGATGAACCGTCAAGAGAAGAAGAAACATGAAGTTGCTCTTTTTCGGGTTCCTACCTGAGAGAAGCCGCCGAGCATGATGCGGTTGGGAGGGATGCCGTTTTTGGCCTCGTGTTCGATGATGGCTTTAACTGAATGGAAGGCGACAAACGTGCAGAAATGAAACACGGAACACAATGCTGACCAGTTTGAAATGGCCTTCATATTTTGGTTTCGAGAACTTCCTGATTCAGTACTACGTTTTGACCACTAGGTGGAGCTATATGCCGGTGTCTAGTGAGACTTCTGTAATTCAATGTTATTGATCTCATTCTTTGAGGGGGGAAAAAACATGAAAACCATGTAACTCTTTTAATCTTAAATTTACCTAAAATTTAAAATTATACTCCTCGCATTTTCAAATCATTCTTTTCCTATGCACTATTTTGTTTTTAACAGATATGTCTTTCAATTTTTGACAAGTCATCAAAGCAGTCACGCCAATCTCCGAACTAACGTAAGCCTCACTGTGATCAGCCGCTTTTTTGATTCCGGATTCGTCCTCGGGGGTTTCGGGGCTGAGGCCCATGAGGTCAAACCTGTTGCAGAAACATAAAGCAACCAGTCCCAATATTGCCGTTTGTCTTTAGATGCTCGTCGTGGAAACCACATCTTACCAGGCGGGCATCATGACGTTCATGTTGAGGGTGACAGGGATCTTTGGCCTGTTGGAGAAGAGGGGGTGTGGGGCAAATAAGTTACATGTGTGGCAAGTGAGCTGGCCATCTTGACTTGTTTCAACAGAAGAATGGGAAAGAAGAAAGTTAATCACTCAATCGACCAACTCCTCCTTGTGATACTCACGCGTGAGGGCAGATGAACTTGACGTGAGGCAGCTGGATGCCCGTCAAGGTGTCGGCCCACCCGTGCCTGAAGAACAAAAAGGGGACATAATAAAATAAGAATATTACTAACGCACATCTTTTTGGTTCGTTCCCGTGCCCAAAATAATCCACCATCTCCGTGGACTCAAAAGTATCAACATCCAAGCGAATGAATCAATTCTCAATGTGTGCGTGACAACGTGGACAAAAGACAAAAGGCGTCCTTTTTGCGCAAACAAAGCTGGTCTTGTACTTTTAAAGAGCCGGATGTCAAAAGAAGAAAGATGTCCTTCCATTGTCGTCCCAACACCGGTTTCCTTTTCCTTATTGAATTTATCAGCTAATGCTAATGCTGTAGACTGCAAATTTCCCCAGTGTGGGACAAATAAAGGTTATCTTATCTTAATGCCGCAGTGGGATTACTCCAGTTAAACTTGTCCCAGTTTAAATACACCGGGGGAAATTGGATTCATTTTTAGCCCAAAACTGAGACGCTGCTGCTTACTTACCCTGTGTCTCCCAATCCATGAAGGAAAATCACCTGTGACGAAGAGAGAGAGAGAGAGAGAGAGAGAGAGAGAAAGAGAGAGAGAGAGAGAGAGAGAGAGAGAGAGAGAGAGAAGCAATTACACTAAATAATTTAAAATGTCCATTCCGCATTCCAAATGGCAACGACATTTATGAGATGTCCAATCCCAATGCAAGGCAAACTGAATTATGAAACGCCATTGACATGAGATGCTGTACGGATCATGTATTGCCGTCGGTTAAGGATGCGGGCGATTGGGGGTGGGGGGGGCTTTGAACTCACTGCCGCGGTCTCCTTCTCCTTCCCGGACACCGTCACAGCATCGGCGAGCAGCGGCACAGACATGTTGTTGCCACACATACACCGTGAGAGAGTCTGTCAACACGGGAGAAGACAGCAAATTGAAATATGATCACACAAAATATTTGTTTTACACGCACAGTTGGAAAAAAAAAAAGTACAGCTACTGTGTGTAAATAAAGACCAAATCCACAAAAGCTCAATGCATGTCAAAAGAAATTCTTGGAAAAAAATTATTTTTCTTCCCCTCAGACAACAATTGCCATTTTCCAAACCTGGAAAATTTTCATTCCATACACAGTCTCTGAATTCTGGTTTCAGTCAGGCCAACTTGCCAATTCTATCAAAATGCACCCATTGACCTGGCTGGAACCATGCACAGATAACAGCATTGGGGCACTTGGTTAATCGGCCACATAGTCATAAAAGTCTCTCCTTGACGCCCTTTGCCTATATGATGATGCGGGCCGAGGCGGGGCCTGTTTGGCTAGAGGCAACGCGAGGGGGTTAATGTGTAAACCTCAGGCTGGATAATCCTTGACTTGAAAAGTTACAATTACAGCGGCATCCAGTCCGGGCCACCTAACAACTGTGTGACTGATCTGTCCGCTGGTTTTAGCATGTTTGCTAAATGAAGGTCATTTTTGCATGAAGTAGTAGTCGTAGTATTATCGAGGTTTTGTGCTTGGTCTGCCTGGCAACAAAACAACAAGTCTAAAGCAGTGGTTCTCATACTATTTCCAGCAAGTGCAACGCTTAAAAAAAAAAAAGAAAAAAAATATATTCATTTTACGTGGCCTGCAAAGACAAATAAAATTGCCTTCACTTTTAACAATTAGTTATGAGATATCTTTATTTATTTCTTTTTGCTACAAATTCCTTTGAAATCAATTGAAAAAAATAGTTGAACAAACAAGTGGCTCCTGATTTCAAAACTAGTTATGCATAAATTTGCTGTGTAAATGTGATCAGGTCAT